GGACGAATCGCCAATGTCACCGGGAACACAGCTCACGGTGGTCGATCGCTTGCTCAGGGACGTCATGGGAACACAAACGCCGTTCGGCGGCAAACCGATCCTGTTCGCGGGCGACTTCATACAGATATTACCCGTCGTCCGCAGGGGGACAAGAAGCTCCATAGTTTTGGCGTCAATCAAACACATCTCTTTGTGGAGGAATACGGAGAAGTTTGAACTCACGCAAAACATGCGCGCCGGTAACGACGCGGACTTCGCGAATTGGTTACTGAGGCTAGGCAACGGTCAACTACCCGAGGTCGACCATTCTCGGGACACGGTCAACATCCCCAGGTACATGGTCTGTGATGTTGATGATTTAATTGATTTTGTTTATCCGCAACAAATGTCGTTGGCTGACGTCGACGACTTTGCTCCGAAAATTATTCTTTGTCCCAAGAACGAGGAATGCCGTACAATCAATCGCCAAGTGCTTCAACGAGTGGTGGGGGCCGAAAGGACCTACTACGGCATAGACACGGTGGTGGCTGACGACCCGGACGAGGTCGCCAACTATCTTACTGAGTTCCTCAACTCTTTGGAATTGAACGGTCTACCGCCGTACGCATTGACCCTCAAAGTCGGTGCCATAGTCATGTGGGCGTAGGACGTTTGCGCATCGCTATTGTTACGAATTACCTTTTTTATAGGCCGTTTGCGCATCGCTATTGTTAAAAAAGACATAGGGTGTTTAAGTGTTTTTCTATAACAATACAATTATATATTGCATTATAATTTTTATAAATTACGTATGTTATCAATAATATTACAAAACTATAAATGTATACAAAAATAATCGTCAATATTCATATTCAGTTATATTCCGCTTTACAAAAATAAAAAAAATAAAATATTTTTGGACGTATACTATCATAATATTGATATATTTTTATAAATTACGTATATTATGTTCTTCTAATGAGAATTATAGTATTTTTTAAATAAGTTTAAACCTATGTCCCATTATTTTTAAAAATTGTTGTCGATTTATTTCCCCACTTGTGTACATAAAATAATTTTCGTTTACGAATTGTATATTTTTTATTTCCTTTGTTCGTAAACGGGTTGACTCTTCATTTATTTTAATATTTGTTTCTACTTGAATTTCTTTTAAAACTTCAAGGACCTAAAATTAAAATACAATTTAAATAAAAAAATAAGGTTAGTAAGCTAAAAATTTGATCTTACTTTCCATACAGATGGATGTGCTGAATAAAATTGTTCATTATAATGCCTATGAAATGATTCTGGTCCATTTGTCGTCTTTGGTATACTCGAAGGTGCTTCAGCCCACATTTCAGGAGGAAACAAACAATTTTCTTCAATATAATTTTTAAGAACATAATCAGAAAACTCAAATGCAGTTTCAGATGGTGCAATTTCAATCAGTTCACAAAATGCTTCTGATACTTCTGCAAAAGGTAAAAATGAAAGCCCAAAAAACATTTTCAACCATTTTCCTGTCTCTGATTCACTATCATTGTACTCATTTCTAAGAGTAGGGAAATCTTGGTTTAATTTTCTATACCAGGATTGGCCAAGATGAAATTTGCAACCTAATATTTTGCATTCTGGAAAAACATTTTTAATTGCAATATGTGCGCTTATTTCTAAATCGGTTCTTATTAAATCAGGCCTAAATGACAAATTAAATGAATCACACAATTTGGTTAAAAAGTACCACATCTTAGTATATTATTCTGTACTTTTCCCGTTTAATAAAAATTATACTAACGGTAAATACATATTATTTTTGTAAACATGTATAGTATACATTTGATAAAAAAATTTTGGGCAATAGTTAAATGTGCCATCAGCATAAACTGGAAGAGAAGTGCACAAACATTGTATTGTTTTACAAGTTATAGCAACAATCGAATTATCTTCGTGTACGAAAACGAATCTTTCTAGTTTGAAAGTTTGAATTTCTGTTTGTCTAACTGATAGTTGTTGCACTGCGTCTTCAATAGACTTGGGGAGAACTGGTTGACTTTTTCTTCGTTGCCTATAGATATGTCGTCTAAAATTAGATATATCATTCATACCCACAACTTCTGATTCCGCAATTGCCCTTCGAACAAGTTTATTAGGTCTAACAGTTGGGTCTTCAATTGCTTTCCTCTTAAGCACATCAATCTAAAAATTTTATTTTAAATTATATTTACGTAAATTAGTTTACGTAAATATTTTTTTTCTGTATATAATATTATGTCAAACTTACTTTCAATTTTTCGATATCACTAGGTGAAAGAGAATTATGATTATGAATGCCACGGGATTCTAAGAGTACTGGTCTATCGTCAGTTTTCACAGAAGCATAACACGTTTTTTTTGGACATTTCCATATTATATCACCTTTGTTCAGTGTGTTACATTTGGTGTATTTTTATTCGTGTACTATTATTGCTGGAGCACCTCTCTTCGATTGTACCACGTGTAATGTAGTCATTTTATAATTTATTACAAAATATTTAAATGACCGTTAATATGAATAAAATTTCAGACTGATAATATTTATTAATGATAAGCTAACAGAAAGCTAACCTAACAAACCAAAAACTACGATTTTCGTATAAATCTACAACCGTGGTTCTTAAACTTGTACGACTGATAAATTATCAGTGATTAATATTATCATAATATGTTATATAATGTTATCGGTATATCTATTATAGTACTGGGGTCAGTCAAGTCAATCGCGATCGACTTATTCCATCGTTATAAAAATTAATTTTACCATTATCGGTCGATAACGTGATAAACAATCGGACAATTTTTTTTTACTTTTTCTCGTGTATTATTAAAATATTACATTAAAATTATTACTATTATTATTATTATTATTACTGTCGGCAACCTCTGCTATTATAGTAGGTAGGTTAGGTACCTTTATATTGTTAAAATGCGCGATGCGCAAACGACCAACCAAATTTATTACCTGTAGTACTAATGATGCGCAAACGACAAACTCCGACAAATTTACCACACAACGTTACAATGTGTAAGATAATTTGAAAAACATCAAATTAAATTAAG